GCTATTCGGATTGTTGGCATAAGGTATGCACTTATTTGTTTCACGATCGAGGTAAACCGCTCTCCAAAATGATTTCACTACACCCGCTATTTGTATTGTTCGTAAAACAAACATGATTTGCCGTTCGCCGTTTTGTCGCCCAATGAGAGTACTCGGCTTTCCTAGGTCAAATCGTCCTTTTGCCAGTGTTTGAATCCCACCACCACCACCTAACGTCCTGCATGGTGTGTTGAATAGCAGCCCTTTGATTGGCCGCTTCTCCCCTTCCTGAAGACTCTACCTTTGTATACTGATAGAAGGAAGTAAAAATGCAAAGAAAAGAATGGTGTTATGTTTTCAACCGTTTTACCTCTGAAATAAGTATCCAGTATTTTTATCGGGCATTCTACTTCCTGATAATACCTGATCCGCGATACTGAATCTAGTTGATGAAGAACTTGGGTTACCACACGGTACGGTTTTTAAGAGGGCTCGTCAGACTAATCTCGTTCAATACGTTCAAAATTGATTACTGCTGTTCCCTTGCACCGGACTTACAAAACCGCAGTCTTCTTCATTTTCCATTGTTTATTGTCCTCAGAATCTCTCTCCTTCCTCCTTTGACTCTGTCAGCACGCTAGCCATCCACTCAACCACCATGCTCTTATCCCGGTTGTCGGTTAACCCGAAACGAACACGTTATAGACCTCGCCCGGTTTTCCCATATTGCACCCTTTTTCCATTTCCTGTTTTCTCTCGCGTTTAGGAAGCCGCCTTGCTGAAGCATGAGAATGAACCTTCCTCGCCCGCAACAGAAGTTGCCTGGGTAAGTTCATTGTTGGGGTTCGCCGTTCGTTTTTCTCTGTGTTTGTTTCGTGCGTTCACTTTGACGCGGTTGGTTTTACCGGATGTGTGTACGCTTGCCTGATCTGAACGCATTTTCTCTTGTTGTTTATGTATTTCCAATCGTTTAGACCATTGTGTTTGCCTCGAATATTGCACAGCTGTTCTCACCTAATCATTGACATTTTTGACGAATTTCCCCCCCCCCTTGTGGTTCCCGTTGTCGTTGTTGCGCTGGCCTCATGCCTGTTACCTAACAGGTGTATTTCATGCAGATTTAAAAGTCGTCTTGCATTCACGCTTCTACAAACCATGGAACTTACTTACAAAAACAAAGACGCTATTTTTTGGTGCACCAGCGCTGTGTTTTATGCGATCCAAAAGCAGAATTTTTTTCTTAATCACAACATTGAGAGACAGAGGACTCATGCTTTTTCCTACCTGTCCGTGCAGTTCTTCATTTTTATTGTCTGTAGATTGCCACACTTGGATAATTGACTAAAATTAGAATAAGTTACATAACAGACGACTGCCCTACGTACGCTGTACAACCCATTGATCGAAATCGACCTAACTTGTTTCAATAATTCCAATTTACTTCTCATCCCAGAATAACTACCGTTGAACGCGCTCGCCTACTCGTCATTTACCGTGGCTTCTAGACCATGCAACTGTCGGCAATTAAAGCATCCTAATCTGACAGCCTATCGCATACGATTAGTATCTAAGATAGGCGTCTGTTTGTTGTGTCGTTCACGTTCACTCACAATGCAACACACACACTGACACAATAACACAGATACGGCGTGAAACAGCGTGCCTCAAAATGGATTCGATACTGCACAGCGCAGCACAATGGTAGTGGCACTCACTACGGACAACGGATGAGAAACGCAGATTGCACACTCGCAGTCGACGTACACGATATCATGGCGCTTGAACGCACACAGAGATACGAGGTTGGTGCGAACACTACGGAGCGCGTACCTCAACGGTCACACTAGCCGTCTAACTCCACAAGTACAATCGCAACACAGATTACACGCCACGAACACTAGTAGCCTCCGCTCAGCTGCGTAAGCAAGAACACAGATGGTGAACAACGAACGTGTAATTCGTGCACCCAGAGAAGTCAAAACTACACTGTCAGTTCGTCTGCTTATATGCTGTTCCGGTCTCTGGACATAGAGGTCGCGACAATTGATGCAAAGAATGAGAAAATTTACAGAATGAACCAGTCAGTGGCCTCCAGTTGGGAATCGACGAATAAGGCCGAAAAGGCGCCCAAAAAACTTTAAATTATTAAAAAGTTAAAAATACTCAAAAAAGACAGTTTTAGGTAAAAAATAGTTTTTATCTAACATCTTCCCCAGCGCAGATCTGTCGTAATACTTGGCTTTGGGTCCACTTGGAAGGTCGCACATAGCGCCGAACTCTGCCAGTTCAGCGTCCCACGTTCAGGTTGGGTTCCTGTGGTTCGATCGGCTTTGGTGCCGGAAGAGCAATCATATCAATCAGTACACTCTAGTTCTGATTCAAAACGAGCACGAACGGCTGGGTCAGATAAACGATGATCTGCCCATCGAGTTTGGTGGGGTTTTCTGCGACCAGTGAGTTGGAGACTGAACTGCATCAAAACTAACGCCTGATCAGTTTCAACGCAGGTGGTCCTGCAGTTTTGTACTGAGCCAACAGCAGTTTACTGCTATGTAGTTAATCTGAGTTAGTGTACCAGTTGAACTGAAGCGCCGCGTTGCTATCCGTTGAGAGCTGTGTCAAATGTTGGTGCTGGATAGGAACAGATGATGATCTGCACAAAACTGAAGAAGTCAATCGTTGTTATCTGTTCACTGGCAAGGCAGAGCACAATGACCGCCTAGGCAAGCTTCTGATGCACTCAGTTTTCCAACCTGCGCGTTGAAGTCACCTGCAAGTACAACTATGTCGGATCTTCGACTCATCCGACTGAGATCGGTGAGTTCATCGTAGAAAGCGTCCTTTTGGGTATCAGAACTGCAATTGGTCGGTGCTTATGCTGATGCGATGAATAAACACCTTTTAGTGTTGCCTCCCTTCCGGACGCTGATTGAACCCTGGAGACGCACTGCACATAAACGACTGTTGACGGGGATCCAATCGATAAGAAAGGGTTCCGCCCCATTACTCAGTACAATACCTACCCCGCGCTGACCTAATGAACGCGCTTCATCGTCGCCTGAAGTGCGAAGAACGTATCTCGTCGAGAAATCTGGGCGCTCAAATGGCTTAGAGTAGTAGGATCCTGGATCCGAGTTTCCGATACGCAGAAAATATCGATTCCTAAGGATTCCATTGTACGAGCCAGACAAGCTGGTTGATCTAGCTGCATCAGGGTTCTCACGTTGAAGGCCCCCAGATTTAGTGATTGACGGGGCTTTAGAATCTGCAATCCATTCCGTGGTAA